AATTTTTTAATAAATTTTGATAAATGTTTAACAGTTATGGATTCCATGAAATATGTTATTAAAATTAATTGTTAATTTTGATTTAAATTAAAATTTAGATTTTAATCGATACCAAACACAATTTTATATATAAAAAAAAAAATCTCAAAAGTTGGGGGCAAGTTGGGGGGGGGGGGGGGGGGCACGTGCCCCCCCAACTTCTGAGATTCCTTTTTTTTTTTTTCCCTCTTTTCACAACTATACTAGCTATAACGTCCTTCCAAATGTCAATGCAACTTCAACTTGTACTTTTAGAAACACATAACTAATTAAGAAATATCTTTTGTACATGAAACCCTTTCCAACTAACAGGTTTAACATGGAACTTATTACCCAATAACTTTTTCCAATGACTATTTTCTATCCATTAATACATTCATCTATTTCAATGATATACTATAATGTAGCATTCCAATCATGTGAACTCCAGGATTCACATTTCCATGCACAATGAAAGACTTAGATATAATTAATTTACTACTTAAATATATACAAGTACCTTAGAAAAAGCTTCTCCACATTAACTAATGTTATTGCCTCCGTAACTGATTGGTTTCTTCTTTAATTGCTAAACTCATATCAACATTAAAAACGCTAACATTACATTCGAAATAATGCAAACCGTGCATTGCACGTGCATCAAACTAGTAATTGTTATAAAATAATGAGTTCTTGAATTTATATATAAAATTAAAATATATAAACATAAATTTTCTTCCTAGGGTGCGTTTGATTGCAATGGTGGAAAATGGGTGGAAAGAAAATGTTTTACAGGGAAAAGATTTGTTTAGGAAATGATTTATAGGGAAAATGATTTCAAATGTGTTTGATTGGTATAATTTTTCACCCGAAATTTTTTTAAATTTTCTATTCGTTTGGCTTTATTTTATATGGAAATTGTCCATTAAAGTGATTTTTTTTCCACAATTGATTATAAATTTATTTCCATTGCCAAAAAGTAAAAAAAAAAAGAAAAAAATTTGTTTTCTAAAAAATCATTTTTTTCATCGAAGTTTAGTTTTCGTTTGACTTTATTTTACATGAAAATTGTCCATTAAAGTGAATTTTTTTTTTTTTAAATTGATTATGATATTTGTTTCCATTTCCAAAAAAAAAAAAAAAATTTGCTTCAGCCGATTGGAAAATATGTTCCCAACAATGTTGGGAAAATATTTTCAAGGAAAACCAAGAAAATGCTGACGTGGCGGGTGGGGAGGGAAAATATTTTTCGGGGAAAATTTGGGCTATCAAACAGCGCAAAAGATGGAAAACGGAAAATATTTTCCTACTTCCCTAGAAAATTTCGCCAATCAAACGAGCCCTAATAGGAAAGGAAAAAAAAAAATATTTTCAAGAAAGATAATAATAGTCTTTCAAACATATGAGGCATGAAAGAAAGAAAATCCTATATATTAAAACATTTATGATGCTACCATAGAAGTATTATATGCAAAAGATGATGATAGTACCTCGTGAGTTCAAGTTTTCAAGATGGCCATTTTCAATAAGCACTGTTCACATTTCTATTTGTTATTTGGTATACCATATACATATATCTACATAGATGAACTGAGTTTTTAATAACATAGTTGAGAGAGCGTTATTACTGAAGTTTTCGATTTTTCAAAAATATCACAACGAATGAATTTGAAGTTGTTGAGAATTTGCATTTATTATGAACATTCCACTTTTCGAGTTCAAATTTTGAACTACAAATTTGCGAATCTTGACTCATCAAATTTTAATTTAAAGTTTAAAAATTTTACCACGAACTTTAGCCCCGGTTTGTCTCTAATTCTTTCAAAACTTTTTACTACATACTCATTTTCAANGAAAGAACAATTCATTTCACTTCAAAATAGCAAGTTACGGATACAAGAAGGAGTTTCCTCCAACACTATTCTCTCCTTGGAGAGTTTAAGTGCTTCATTTACTAAAGTATGGGCGACGACATTATCGATTCTAGGTACATGATTAACAAACCAGAATTGAAAAGATTCAAGCATTCTCTTCGTATCCTGGATCAATAAGCCTGGGTAGTTCCAAAACTCCGAGTCTCCATTTAGGCCCTTCAAGACGTCAGCGCATCTCCCTCCAAAATGATTGACGACAGCTTGAGATGTTTGCACAGTAACACTGCTTTCATGATTGCAATGGACTCAGCCAAGAAGGCATTTGGGAAAACATTTCTTTGGGACATCATTGATGTTTTAAGAGTTCCGGTCCAGTCTCTCACAACAACACCAATTCCAACCTCACAATTAGCCGAATCCGCCGCCGCGTCCCAGTTAATTTTGTACTTACTCTGATGGGGTGCAGTCCAAGGCTGGCGAAGTTGAGCTTCTCTATTTCTGGGCCAGCCCAACTGGGAATTCACCTTATTGTACTTCACTGCATTCTGTCGAGCCACTAAAGATAATTCTGTTGGGCCATCGAATTTATCCTCAAACACAAAGGAGTACTGCCTCCTCCATATCAGATAGATAGTGGCAGTAAAGTCCTCTATTTTTTCTTGAGACAAGACATTAAACAAATGGCTCACCAGTTCTTTGAAGTGGAGTGGCCTAAATGACATTTTCAACTTTTCAATACCCACTAAATTTTGAGTGTATGAAGAAAGTAAAATCAAAGACTCATAATTAAACAACGACTGATAGAGAGGCTCGTCTTGACCATTCAAAAGTGAAGACTTCCTGGCGACACACTCATAGATTAGTTTGAGCAAATACTGCATTTTTGTGGAAATATTTGTCCTCAAAATGATGCATTGACATACAATAAATTCCAGCTAATGCAGAGAATCATGCCAAGGCCAGAAATGAATGTGAGTGGTACATCACCGTGGAGTACACGTAAATAAATATTGCATACAAAACATATTTTGGAACCACTTTTGTGGGTCGAACTTGGAGCAATTTCACGTCTTGAAAATATTCTTTGGGTTGTGCATAAGCACCAATTCCTATTCAGGCAAAGTAGAAAAAAGAGACCGAACAAATAGAATTTACGCGGTTCAACACATGGCCTACTTCTATGGACTGAAACAAGAGCTACCAAGAAAACGCAAGTAAAGTGAATAAAACATGAGTACACAACATCAAACTAAGCCCCCGTTTGATGAACATTATAAAGAGAAATTCAGGAAAATAATGTTTTGAGTATGGATTTTTTTGGAGATTGTGCGGTTAAAAAGTGAAGAAAAATTTTGGGTTTATGCACGGAATATTTTATTGTGTGAATGTGTGGTTAAAAATGAGCACAATAAATAAAGAATTTTTTTTAACGAGAGTAAAACAGAGGCTGAGACTTATTCCAATTAACAAAAGAGTACGCTGTACGCACTACAGAATACTCAAATTATCCACAAAATACGTATACTAAAGTGAGACTACAAAGATTCGTACGATTGGGGTGAAAGATGGGAGCTTCTTATTTTTAGGAACTCAAAGGGGCTGCATATCACATAATAGACTATAACAATCCAAAAGTATATTGTCACCATGGGAAGAATCTACTTTCTGATTTCTTTTGCAATTGTACTGATGTCATATAACTTGGCTTTCTTAACCAGAACAATTGCAGGCGTAAATGCTGACCAATCTGCTCTTCTTTCTTTAAAGAAGACTATCACTATAGATCCCAAACAATTAACAGTGAAAAACTGGTCCATCAATGCCTCGGTATGCAGCTGGATTGGAGTCACCTGCAATTCACGCCACCACAGAGTTGCAGAGTTGAATCTTGCAAACATGGGATTAACAGGCAGCATCCCTCCGCAGTTGGGAAACCTATCCTTTCTAATTTACCTTAATCTTAGTGGCAACCGTTTTCATGGCAAACTTCCAGGAGAGTTAGCTCACTTGCGCAGGTTAAAATTCATGGATTTTAGTGTCAACGATTTTTCTGGGGGGATACCATCAAGTCTTGGTCTATTACCAAATCTTGAACAGTTGATTATTGCTAACAACTCTTTTGAAGGAGCCATTCCATCTTCTCTCTGTAACCTGTCGAGGCTGGAGATCCTGAACATGGACTTCAATTCTCTACAAGAACAGATTCCATTAGATATCGGCAATCTTGGTAGCCTAAAAATTTTGAGCATGAAAAGCAACAGAATTTCTGGTTTTTTACCAAGATCAATATCGCAAATCTCTTCACTGGAAATCATGGATCTTACGAAAAACTTCTTGTCCGGCAATATTCCAGAAGACGTGTGCCATAATGTAACCAAACTCAGATTTCTGTTACTCGCATCTAACAGCCTAAATGGCCCAATTCCATTGGATATATCAGAATGCACAGAACTTAAAGTGTTGGCCCTGCAAAGTAACAACTTAAAAGGACTCATTCCAAGACAAATAGGGAATCTGACTATGCTTAAGGTGCTATATCTCGACAACAACATTTTAGAAGGTATGGTTAAAACTTCTGCCCCACTACAGAAAAAAATAGAGTATTTGATTGATATTTCCGAAATGAGTTTTTCAATATAAAAAATTACATATTTTCACTATTTAAAGCAGTCATTATCATTTCCAAATGAAATGAGCATGTTCCGGGATACAAAGAATTGTATATTGGATCGTATTAAGGTTGTTATTAACCATTTGTAGGCACCAATGCACAAAATATTATCGCAGGCTTTATACCCCAGGAGCTGGGATATCTTCAGGGATTGGAAGAACTAAATTTGGCATCTAGTAACTTGAGGGGCTCTATTCCAGACAGCCTCTTCAACATCTCGAGATTAAGAAAGTTAAATCTCGTCAGTAATTCCCTTTCAGGCTCTCTTCCATCAAGTATAGGCAATAACATGCCTAATCTTGAAATTCTCTTTATTGACCTAAATAACCTCACAGGACCTATCCCCGATTCTATTTCAAATTCTTCGAAACTAATGTTCCTAGACCTTTCTGGTAATCAGTTTACCGGTCCAATTCCCGGTAGTCTTGGTAACCTAAGATTCCTCCAATCTCTCTCCCTCAGTGAGAACAATTTGGAAGCTGATCAAGAGCTGAGCTTCATCACTTCCTTGACCAGATGTAGATATCTAAGAGAAATTTCGGTTGGTCTTAATCCTCTTAATGGCATCCTTCCAGAATCCATTGGGAACATCTCTAATCTTGATTTCTTTGAGGCAAGTTATTGTGAACTTAAGGGTGGCATACCAAAACAGATAAGCAACTTGAGCAACTTGATACTAATAAGTTTATCTCACAATGATTTGAGTGGATTTATTCCATATGAATTCAATGGTTTGCAGCAGCTGCAGGGATTATATTGTCAGTTCAACAACATAGGAGGAATAATTCCAACGAGTCTTTGTCATTTGCCTAACTTGTTTGCATTGTCGTTGGTGGGTAATCAAATTCTTGGAGCATTGCCTGAATGCATAGGCAATGTTACTTCTCTAAGACATCTTTTTCTTGGTTCCAACAAATTAACATCTAGCATACCTGCAAGCCTTTGGAATCTTAAAAATATCCTGTATTTCAATCTGACCTCAAATCTCTTGAATGGATCCCTACCACCTGAAGTTGCAAGATTACAGGCTGCAATTCAATTAGATCTATCGCAGAATCAGTTCTCAGGCCATATTCCAAGTACAATAACTGAGATGCCAAACTTGATCAATCTGTCCTTGGCTGATAATAAATTTGAAGGAAATATTCCAGACTCAATGGGGAAATTGATTAGTTTAGAAATTCTGGATCTATCCAACAACAGTCTCACTGGCATGATCCCAAAGTCACTCGAGGCCCTTCAACATCTAATGTATTTCAACGTATCGTTCAACAAATTTAGTGGCGAAATTCCAAGTGGAGGACCCTTCGAGAATTTCACTTACCTTTCTTTTATGTCAAATGAAGCCATTTGTGGTAAACCTCAATTCCATGTCCAACCTTGTCGAGGTAGTTCTTGCACAGATCAATGAATAAGAAAGTGGTGTTGGCTGTACTTATTCCAATAACAACTGCATTGGCAGCAGTCACCTTGGTCATCATACTTCTGTGGTTAAGATACCGAAGAAGACAGGTTCAAGGTCAAGCTGATTCAATACCTGCTAATATGCTTCAAAGAATTTCATTCTATCAGCTTCAACAAGCAACTGATGGGTTTAATGATAGAAACTTGCTTGGCAAAGGAAGTTTTGGATCTGTTTTCAAGGGGTCATTTACTGATGGGACAATTGTTGCCATAAAAGTGTTTCATTTGCAAATGGAGGGTGCATTCAAGAGTTTTGAAATAGAGTGTGAAGTGTTAAGAAACCTTCGTCACCGGAATCTCACCAAAGTTATCAGCAGTTGCTCCAATCTTGATTTTAAGGCTTTAGTCCTTGAGTACATGCCTAATGGGAGCCTAGAAGAGTGGTTGCATTCTGATGGTCATTCCTTGGATATTATTCAGAGATTGAACATTATAACAGATGTAGCACATGCAATTGGGTATCTCCACCATGGTTACTCAACCCCGGTGGTTCACTGTGACTTGAAGCCTAGCAATGTCTTGCTAGATCACAATCTGGTTGGACATGTGAGCGATTTTGGCATTGCGAAACTTTTAGGTGAGGAAGAAACTATTTGGCATACCACGACCCTAGCTACATTTGGTTATATGGCACCAGGTGAGTCTTGTGGCTTTCATTACGCTTCAAATATTATATTCTCCTGAAAAATAGTTAAATAATCCTTTTGAAGTCAATAACTATATTACATGACATAATATTTTGCAGAATATGGAGCGGAAGGAATTGTTACAACAAGATGTGATGTTTATAGTTATGGCATTATGTTGATGGAGACTTTTACAAGTAGGCGGCCCACTGATGAAATGTTTTCAGAAGGTTCAAGCCTGAGGAATTGGGTTACTAATTCAGTTCCAAATGCCATAGATCAGGTTGTAGATACCAACTTACTAAGTGCAGAGGAAACACACATAAGTGAAAAGATAAAATGTATATCATCCATTATGAACATGGCTGTAAATTGTTCGGCAGAATCTCCTGAAAACAGGCCAAGCATGAAAGATGTCGTCTCATCACTGGAGAAGATTAAAGTCCAGCTCCTTAAATATTGAGGTAACCGAAGATATCATGGTAAGTATTAATCTTTCACTTTCCATTTTAGATTTTTTTATCTCTACACTAGGTGGAAGTTCAAAGTCTGCTGGTGAAGGAGCAAAATATTTCCATTTAATGCTAAATATTCTGCAATCCACCAGATGACAGATTTTATACAATCTTTGTTAGATCATATTCCTATGTTACTAGAAACTTTCCACATGACAGAACATTTCTGCTTGTAGAAGTTGAAGCTTTTGTCTGAATTACTCCAACCTCAGACATGGCAAGTTCAGTTTCCTGAATCAAGAAGGAAAAAGGAGCATATGTTGCAGAAATCATTTTCCACAAGGACAAGCAAACAGGGGCGGACCCACATGGGGTCAAATGACCCCACAATTTTTTTTTTTTTTCTACCTAAACATTTTTTACCCCACAAGAAAAATGGTCTCGATCCGACCCTGCAATCAATTAGAGAATTGGCTTTGGAAATGAATGCCATGCTGTTTAATCTTAGACAATTATTGTGTAAAAGTAAGTAATTAATTCATATTGGTTAGTCTAATTAATCATATGATCTTTATCCAAGAATAGCACAGATCATTTCTTATTGTGTCAAGAGAATGCTACGAAGGATAAACCTAGATGTACCAAATGTTTTACCAACTCGCCACTTGGCGCCCCACCATTGGAGGGGCGCCTACCATTACAGG